ACGGATACAACGGATCAGGGAACAATGTCCAGGGCCTTTTGCTAAACTCTTAAAAAAATGTGAAATCATCCCATACTACACCAAAATATCTTTATGTTGAAGCGTGAGAAAAATTGTAGCTTATATTCTCAATAGAGTTCCAAGTAAAGCAACCGTTAATAGATTACAAATTTTAACCATCCCACTATTAATTCAATTTTTGAAATAGAAAATGTCCATTTCTTTGAAGATGTAGAGGTTGGGATAAGGTTAGGAATTTTGTCTTTGAGGGAGAATATATAAATGTTCCTTCTATTGCAATTGAATATGATATGGACTAGGGATAAATTCTTACTTCAGATCTTATTCAATAAGCAATTTTGAATCAAGGTAATATTATAAAATCTCTTATACACAATCAATCGATCGTTTTAGAAGAACAAACTCACAACTTTAAAAACAAATGCAATTAAGAAAACCCACTGAAAAGAGAAAGGCAATTCGAATAATTTTATATAGTCTTAAGGCAATTCTGATAATTTTATATAGTCTTTCTCCAAGAAAATTAGGATGCTATTATACTGGTGGAATAAGATCTGATCAATCAACTTTCATAATGCAATGTAAAGGAATAATTCTTAAAAATAGATTGATGCCATAAATAAAGAAATAAAGTTCATGAGTAAAAATGACGTTTGAGAACTCATCCCATTACTTGAAGGTATGAAACCCATTGATTTTAAATGGATATTTTAAAATAAGAGGCATTCGAAGGGTGATGTGAAAAGATATAAGACTCATCTTATGGCAAATGACTTTACTCGAAAGGAAGGCATTGATTTTAAAGAAACTTTCTCTCCGATTTATACGAAAGACTCTTTTAGGACTATCATGGAATTTGATCTTAAACTACATCCGATGGTTTACAAATAAAAATAATTCATCTATGGGTTTAAGCAGGTCTTTCGTCAATGGTATCATAAATTCCTCAAATAATTATCTCGTTTGATTTTGAGATAAATTCAATTGATAATTGTGTATATCATAAGTTAGTGGGAGTAAGCATATTTTTTGGTATTGGATGTCAATGACATACTATTTGCTTACAATGATATTGATTATTGGACGAAACTAAGAGATTTTTGTTATAGAATTTTGAAATGAAAAATTTTGATGACGCCTCTTTTGTGTCAGGGATACATATACGCTGTGATCGTTCTCGGGGTATATTTAGATTATCACAAAAGAGTTATATCGATAAAGTTCTTAAAGAATGTAGGATGCAAGTATGTAAACCATGTAATACCCCTATTATTAAAGGAGACAAGTTTAGTCTTAACTGCCACAAGAATGAAAAATACAAAAGATTCCTCGAGCTTGAGTAGCTGGGAGTTTAATGTATGCTAATATTTGCATACGTTTGGATATGACATTTATTGGTTGAATGTTAAGTAGATATTCAAATAGCTCTGGGATGGATATTTGGAAAGCAGCCAATTAGAATATTCGATATTTACAGAGAACTAAGAATCACATATTCACATTCAAGAAAACCAGACCAATTGAAAATCATTGGATATTGGAATAAGACTGCAAAATTTTTGTTGCTAGGCTGAATAATTTAGATAGATTTGAAAGATCACTTTAATTATTTTGTGATAATAGCAGTCTTGTATTACAACATGATTTTGATGATGTCAAAGGTTATTTACATTGAGTTTATAGCTGTTAAAGAAATAATTCAGAGCGTTCGAGTTTCTATGAAATGATCAAGACAAACTCTATAATTGCGGATCCGCTTACTAAGGGGCTATCACCCAAGATTTTTCATGAGCATACTGTTGATATGGGTGTTACATCTTTCGATGATATGCCAATTTAGTATGAGTTGTATTCCATCGTTGTCTGTTTTGGACACATAATTCTATCCGTAGATATTCGACTTTATTTTAGAAATAAAGTATTCAATTCATTTTCACTCTAATTAAAGTTTTGGCTTAATCTCATAAGGTATGACCAATTGGAAATATGCATGTTCATATCACTTTGCATGTAATTTCCATACTACACATCCACACTTGATCCATGTCATTTGATTGTGTTAATATACATGACTATTGAAGGTTTAATTATGATAATTATAACGAAAATTCCTTTGATCCTATATTAGCATAATTAATGGATGAGATTATTCGAAGATGCCTTTTGGTTATGATAGCAAAAATATTGAGTTCATAAGATTATACACATTTATAAGGTAATATATGTAGCCCAAGTAGGAGATTGTTGAAAAATTATTTAATTTGTCATGTGGGTCGACATTTCTAATTAATTGTGTATAAAGGTTATTTTAAAGTTAAGTCAATATTTAAAGTGATTAAATAAATAATTTAAAATAATTGGGCTTAAGGCATCTAAATAAAGTGTGGGCCGAATTGCGTGTTTAAAGATCGAATTCCTTTATAATTATATCTCATAATAGGCAAAATACATATAGAAATTATATATATAGTTTTGGTTTCCAATTCATGCGCAGCTTCTCATTCTTTATGCATCCCATCAATACAAACATTTAGAGAGAAGACATTGAGATGGAGATTTAAAACCCACAATCAAGAACGGACAATCTACATTCAAGAATCAAGAAGAAGAATTCAATAATTCATGATCAAGAATTAAGATTAAAGATCCAAAAGACAACCTTCAAAAATTATAATTCGAGAGACAAATCAATGAATTAAGGTATATTTTGCATTATTAATTATTTTTGATGATTTGACATGGAGGATTTTGACAATAAAAAAATTTAGGTTCTCTAGTTCTAAAGTTTATAGGTTTTATAAAGTTTAAAGTTTCGACAAAGACTTGTGAAGTCGGACTGATACATAGATATAAAAGTTTCCATTAAAATAATTACGTAGAAAAAATTAAATTGGAATTGCGACATACCTCTGGATAAAAATGATTGAAAATATCCGGTTAGAACAATTTAATTCACAAATTCTAGATTAATTAGAATTTATAAATGCTCTTAGGTGAGTCAGGGATATATATAAACAGAATAGACGCAGTGTAAATTGAAATGTTGAAAAAATTAGATACCAAGACACGTATAATAAAAAATAAATAAAGAGATTGTAATTAAACAAATCTGTATGCATAGAAGAATTCTATGACAATGTTTGGTTTATTATTCATAAATTCATAAATATCCACTACCTTCCTTGACTTATAAAGAAACCAAACATACAATTAAATTGGGAATCCCCTTGTTGACAGTCGTAGTGTGAGGGTTTGATTTCTGAAATATGGAATTGGACTTCTTATAGGCGCAATGTATATGCAACTCTTATTCTTTGGCCTGTTGGGACACATCCTGAGATTTACCTCCTTCACAAAGCTCTAGGAACGGAACAGTGGAGGCCCTCAATGTTGGGTTTCAACTTTTTTTAAAAAATAAAAATAAAAATTGGGAATCAATTATGGGCCTATTTCATAATGAATAGAGTGGGGTCCATCGTGGAAAATCACAATAAGCCCGTGTTATTTAAAGCCATTGGGTTTGATGAGGCAGGAGTATATTAATAAAAGCAATGAATACGTAGAGAAGCACTTCCATGGGAGTTCGTACCGTGGGACCCTAAATCTAACAAAGTGACGTCATCTCCGTTGGACTTTTCTAGTGGGCCCACAGCAATGCCCCTGATTCCGAAACAAGGCCTCACTACCTATGCCCTCTGCTTCTGTACCAACTCTCTCTAATCTATTTCGTGATTAGGTTTCAGTGGTCCCCATGTTTTCTTTGTCGCAGATAAACGTCATAATTTTTCAGTTTATTTTCAATTAAAATATCTGTATACACCTTATATTTAGCCCTGATTGAGCCATAAAGAAAAAAATTAGATTTAAGTGTAACATTATTTTATTAAAAAATGTGTAATTGAAATGATATCAAAATACTATTTATAAGTATGTTCTTTTAAAATGATCTAATAAATTTTTTTGTGAAAGGTGTTCTGTATGCGTCGCTTTATCCACAAAAAAAGAAAATCCAAAGCAAAACTACTTTTAATTTTTGAAAACTTTAATATGCATGTTCATAAATAGCGATCAAGTTAAGATGTCAACAAAACACAACTTATGTTTAGTAATTTAACTAACGTCATACATTTTGGTAGATATCAAAGGATCATATGGACTACACGTTCTCCTTCATATAAAAGTTAATTTAATTAGAATCTTCCTCTCAATTCCCCCCCAAATATGTTACATATGGATTTGTTTTCAAATGTATATGAACAATGATTTATAATTCTGCATAAAGATAGATTTCTTATTACTTAGGCCCCGTTTGATTGCACGAAATTTTCCATGGAACTTGGAAGTCGAATTTCAACTTCCACTTTTGGCCTGTTTGATTGACAAAATTTTCCAGGGAATTGATTTTCCATGAATTTCTAGGTACAACACCTTAAAGCGTGATTTTCCACCTTTTTTTTTCCTAGGGGATAGGTGATTTTTGGTTTTCCACCTTTTTTTTTTTATATTTTTTTTGGCTTTTTTTATTTATTTTTTAATTGTTGGCAATGGGAACAAATTTTAGGAATAATTGTAAAAGAGGATATCCCTGAAATTGACAATTTTCACGTAAAACAAAGTCAAACGAACATCAAAAAATACTTTTACTTCAACATTTTCTACGTGAAAAATTTATACAATCAAACACAATAATTTACAATTTCCATGAAAACAATTTCTAGGTAATTCAATTCCTTGAAATTCATTTTCTTTTCATGTAATTTTCCTACTTGTAATCAAACGCACCCTTATTTCAAAAGTATATACATCCCCAAAATACACGCGCGCGCGCACCACGTCACAGTCGCATTCCTCCATAGACCAACCACGTCACCCCCAAGAACTTCCAGCCTGGCAATACCTCACAGCACACCTCCCAATTATGTACTCCCACGTGTCCCTCTCCCACCCATTTCCCAATATAAATACCACTCTTCTCTTTCAATAACTTAAAGCTTTCTTTCAAGGAGCAATGGTTTCAAATTATTGTACTGCACTCTTCTTCTTCTTCTTGTTCACCTCTTCTTCCATGGCGGCTTTGGTACAGCAACAGCCCCTTTTATTGAAATACCACAACGGGGACTTGCTAAAAGGGCCCATCACCGTTAATCTCATCTGGTACGGAAAGTTCACTCCAGTCCAGCGCTCCGTAATAGTTGATTTTCTGCAGTCTCTCAGCTCTCCAAAAGCCCTCGTGCCCTCTGTTTCTTCCTGGTGGAAGACAACTGAGAAGTACAAAGGGGGTGGTTCATCTACGCTCGTTGTAGGGAAGCAAATCCTCGACCAAAATTACTCTCTTGGAAAATCCCTCAAGAATTCTCAAATAATTTACTTGGCCTCCAAGGGTGGGCATTTAAGGGGGTCGATTAACGTTGTATTGACGGCTAAAGATGTCGCCGTTAATGGTTTTTGCATGAATAGATGTGGGAGCCACGGGTCAACCCCGGGCCCGACTCGGTTTGCTTATGCGTGGGTGGGGAACGCCGAGACTCAGTGCCCGGGTTACTGTTCTTGGCCTTTCCATCAGCCTGTTTACGGCCCGCAGACCCCACCTTTAGTGACGCCAAACGGAGATGTTGGAGTTGAAGGGATGATCATAAACCTGGCCACGGTTTTGGCGGGAACTGTGACGAACCCGTTTAATAGCGGGTATTTCCAGGGCCCGGCGATGGCACCTTTGGAGGCTGTGACTGCTTGCACGGGCGTGTTCGGATCGGGTGCTTACCCGGGTTACGCCGGTAATGTGTTGACTGATAAAACTACTGGAGCCAGCTACAATGCGCACGGGGTAAACGGCCGGAAATTCCTGGTCCCGGCGATGTGGGACCCGAAAACATCTCAGTGCGTGCCGCTAGTCTGATTTCGGTATCGGGAAAAGAGAGATTACCCAGTGTGCACACATGTATGTATGTAAATACACTTCTGGAGAAAGGAGTCTGGATGGATTTGGAACCTTCGAGGAAGAGGAAGAGGAAGAGGATGGTGGGAGTGCGTGGAAGGTGTGTTTCTGCGTCGTCGTTTAGTATAAAATGTAAAGCCTCTTTTCGTATGGGAGAAGTATGAGAAAATGCCACTTGACATAATAATAATAATAAAATGGGGATAATTTTGAAAAAGTAAAGGGTTAAAATTGCCTTAATTTTCCTTCTCGTGCATGGGATAACGAATGGATTACAAACAGGCTTTTAAATTTGGATTTCCGTAAATTGCTCTATTGGTTCTCATCTTATAAAAATAAGCTAATTAGAGCCTGTTTGGAAGTGATTTTGAGAATTGATTTTTTGACCGTTAGGAGAAAAGTAGGGTCCACCTATGAGAGAAGAAGTCAAATATGACGGCTGAAATAGTAAAATAACGATCAAAAAATCAATTTTTTAGATGAAAAAATCGGGCCCAAACAGCCCCTTAGTCTTATATTTAATTCTTCACAAATTCGTGTGCATGGATATTCCTAGCATTTAGTTCACGAGATTAATTCATGGACAGACGTGTTGGTTTTTAAGTGCATATTGTATTACAGCTACATATGCTAGTAAGTAGGGTTGGATTTAGCCCTTCAGAACATAGTCCAGTGGTGCAAAAGATAGGAGTGAGGTTATCTCACGTTTTGTTGGCAGTCGCAGTGTGGGTGTTCGATTCCTGAGAGATGAAATTGGACTCCTTATAGGAGCAGTGTACAGACAGCTCTTGTTTCCTAATCTGTTGAAGCATATCCCGCGATTTACCTCCCTCACCAAGCTCTAAGAGTGGGGTGATGGGGACCCTCAAAGTTAGGGTTCAACCCTTTTTATTTTTCTTTAAGCAGGGTTGGATTTAAGGGCCTGATATGGGCTTTTCTTCCAATTACTTTTTCATGTAGATTTTTCATTTTTAATATATTAACTCCTCTAAAAGATTTTTTAGTACAATTATGACCCTAAAACATATGTTCCTTATAAGGATTAATTATGTTAATGGTCAGTGAAGGTTAGAGAACTTGCACCAATGACCACTAATGTTATCTTCTTATAGTAGCAGTTCCCTAATATTTAACGGCGACAGGTAGGATTTATCGTTAATATTTCTAGCCAAGTGACCGTTAATATAGGAGTTAAAAACTTGAATAATTATTTACCATATGCAAATAACTCCAATGACTAAATGTATTTAACCTCCATATGTATAATATAAACAAGCAATTATTGGACAGGAAAATTTTCATTTTTATTCTCAAGTGAAATCGATTGTCTATAATCTATCTACAAGGAACAATGACAAATTCGTTGATGTACTTGTATGAATGGTTTTGTCGTCCTAATCAAATGGCTCCTGCCTTCCATCTCTTTACAACTGTGTGACCGTTCACACTGTCCAATTTCTTTTACATTCACATTCACATCCACCCCAACCCAACCCTCTTTAAATAAAGAACCTGTCTTCTTCTTTCCCTATATATTGTGACAAAAAATATATATATTTCAAAAGTAAAGTTTGAGTGCAAGCATAATCGTTTCAGATTTTGTTATGAATCTTTATTGTTGGAGTCAGCGAGACAGCAATTTTGGTAAAAAGCTAGTAGTCCAGCTATTATTTACTTTAAGACCCACTTGGTCCATTTTAAAAGTAAGTGGTTAAGAAATGATATTGCCTAAATTCAAAAGCACCTCAAGATTACGAATGATGAATAATTTAAATACTCACCTACAACTACTAAGTGGGTAATATTAAGCGTTGGACCGCCTCAAATCAATCTTTTGTATATATTGGATTAGCCTCTGAGGCATAATTTAGTAGTGTAAATGATAGGAGTGAAGTAGTATCAATTTTGTTGGCAGCCGCAGTGTGAGAATTCGATTCCTAAGATAAGGAATTGGACTTTTTGTGGGTATCAATATACGGACAAATTTTTGTTTCCTCACCTTCTGGAGCACATCCCGCTATTTACCTCTATCACGATATTTCATGGACGAAACGGTGAGAACTCTCAAAGTTGGGGTTCAATCTTTTATTATTATTATTTTTGTGCATATATCGGATTAAGATAGAATTGTTTTGGGTCGGCAGGCTGGAAAGTAAAACTCTAATTATTGCATTAGTTAATTTAATACATTTTTTTGGCGCCTGACAGCTGTTGGTACTGACGAGCTACATAAACTAGGCCAATTCTTATCCAAATGGTCCTATCCTACATCACGCCATAGCGTTTATGGTCCAAAATTAGGATGTATTCGAGCCCCTTTCATTTTGGACTTGTATGGAGGTAATTTTCCTCTGCTAAGTAGTAAATTTCTGATCGTTAGAGGTTGTAGATGGGCCCCGTTGTGAGAGAAGTGGTCAACTTCTGTAAATTCAACGGTTGGAATTTCAATTTTAATTTAAGGAAGAAGCAGCTCTGGACAGACACTTTGTAAAATGTAGTATGAAATAGTAAATTAACGAAGAATACATGGTTAAAAAAAAAGATTTTTTTTATTTGCATATAATATTATTTTAATAAAGAATGTGTGGTTAAAAATGAGTAACGTAACAAAAATAATGTAATAGAATATAAAATATAAGTGACAAAGAGGGCTTAATTCTCTCATCATTTGAAAATTCTTTATTTTTATACTAATTTTTAATTATATATTTACACACTCATTTTTCATAGCCTAAAACAAGCCTATCTCATTGTCACTGGAGAATCGAAAGTCGCAGAAGATTTGGAGTATAAACTGGGCAAATAAAAAAGATGAAGAAGACTGAGTGCTTTGATTGATTTATTTATTTTTTCAAAAATCGCGAATGCTTTGATTTATGACATAATAAAGAGAAAACTTCTTTTTATGATATTTTTGACACAGAAATAAATTTCCATCCTTATAGGACCACTAGTAAAGATTTCAAGTTGGTGCTTGTGTATAGATTTTGCGCCGAGGGAGCAAATTTTGTTTAAGCACATTCTCTGTTTTATATAACAACATCGTATATAACAAGTGATTAATTTTTTTTTGATATATACATAAACCTTTTTATTTTTTTATTAACTATATGAAGTCATATTACATGAAGAGTAAGACAATAATAACATATTTCGCGTATTATATATTTTAAAGAACTTACGCTTTCTAAAATCTTATGCAAACATGCTGAATTAAAATTTCATTTTAACTAAAAATCTTAAATGTCAAATATCCTGGGCATATATTAAATTTATTAATACATATATCATATCATTTTGTTGAGTCATGATTACTATCCTAATTTACATTCCAAAAATTATAGTTAAGAGTTTCTAACATTGTTATAAAGTTTAAAATAATAAAGAGAAAACTTCTTTTTATGATATTTTTGACACAGAAATAAATATCCTGGGCATATATTAAATTTATTAATACATATATCATATCATTTTGTTGAGTCATGATTATCGTTGACCCCAAAAAGTGCGCCAACAGATGCCGGTCCCACCCGCGCTTGCGTGGGCGAATGTCCAACACGCTAAGATACGTGGACGGTCTACAATAAGCGGTTCAAATGGGCGTGGGAGTAGCCCAACGACGCGGGACGGTGACGTTCGAAATCCGGCGAGTTATTCGTGATCCGATTGTAAAATAATTACCAACCGGTGCTCGTAAATGTATAAGTAAAAGTGTATAAACTCGATTTGTGTATTGCAAGTAAGATGAGAGAGAGTTGAGTAAATGTAGTCTTTAGTATTGATTCTCGCATTAGCCCTTTGATACTATACAATGGGGGTATTTATAGTGATACATATGGAATGGGGACCCTTGGATGAAGTGGCACGTGGCCTCATCTCCATAGTTTAAATGTCTGTTCATAGGTATGGGATTTGACTTGCTAGCTTACGGCGCATTTATTGTTTGTGCAGGACCTCCGTGCTAGTGACAAAACTTGACCTTTATGCTTATGACAAACATTCCATCAATCATTCGAATAAGATCTATGCAGGGGATCCCTTGGGAGAAGTGATCATGGAGGATGTTTCCTTGTGGTTGAGGCTCGCGCATCAACTTCGGGGCTTCGTCCATTCGAGGACCTCAGCTACAACAGAACCTTCCACGCCTCGGGACATGGGCCTCGGTTAGAAGCAGTTCGGGTGTAACCCACCTCGGCAATGTGGGCCACCTCGGCAGGAATGCCGCGTGGATCAGGATGAGTAGCCTACTGGCCCAGGTGGATAGGACAAGTGTGACAACATGCAACAGTAGTCCCCCAAGTCCAAGTATGATCATTAATGTAATGCGTGGACTTCAATGGAGTAAAAGTTGAAAGAATTTTTGAATTTTTTGAACCCCCAAATAAGTCCCACAAGTCCAAGTATAGATATTTATATCATAGTTGGAGTTAGAGGATTGTTGCTGTAGGTAGGTGTCCAGAACCGAGGTGGTTGGGAACCGAACCTGCGGGGCTTGAATGCCGAATGGCATGTGAAGAAGCCGAGGTGGTTGTGAAATCGAACCTGCGGGCTTGAAAGCTGAATGGCATGTGAAGAAGCCGAGGTGGTTGGGGAACCGAACCTGCGAGGCTTGGTTGCTGAATGGCATGTGAAGAAGCCGAGGTGGTTGGGGAACCGAACCTGCGAGGCTTGGTTGCTGAATGGCATGTGAAGAAGCCGAGGTGGTTGGGGAACCGAACCTACGAGGCTTGGTTGCTGAATGGCATGTGAAGAAGCCGAGGTGGTTGGGGAACCGAACCTGCGGAGCTTGGTTGCTGAATGGCATGTGAAGAAGCTGAGGTGGTTGTGAAACCGAACCTGCGGGCTTGAAAGCTGAATGGCATGTGAAGAAGCCGAGGTGGTTGGGGAACCGAACCTGCGAGGCTTGGTTGCTGAATGGTATGTGAAGAAGCCGAGGTGGTTGGGAAACCGAACCTGCGGGGCTTGGTTGCTGAATGGCATGTGAAGAAGCCGAGGTGGTTGTGAAACCGAACCTGCGGGCTTGAAAGCTGAATGGCATGTGAAGAAGCCGAGGTGGTTGGGGAACCGAACCTGCGAGGCTTGGTTGCTGAATGGCATGTGAAGAAGCCGAGGTCCAATGATAATTATTATGCTTTGGTCTCTATGCCAATGATTTGATGTTTTGTGCTTGTTTTCGAGGAAAGGTAGCTGAACCGTTACGACTTCCAAGGTGTTGGCGCCGACGAATTAAAAATGCAATT